TGTCTAATATAAGACCTTTAATGTATTGTCAAAACTGGAAGAATTGAAATCTCAAAATGACACTGGAATACGCCTGTGTTACCTTTTGAACATGTAATGCTACACTGTGTCACTTTTTTGTTGAGGTACATGCTTGTCTCCATGGAGATGTTGCTGCTTTGCCTGGAATGTTCCACAGTGTGACATTAAACTTTGTTTACCTCCATAGAGACAATCTGGTGGCATCAGCATGATCTGTGGAGAGGCACCTCCACTCACAGAAGAATGTTTGATTTCCTTGAAGCAATGAAACATATGCAATTGGACAAATGCAAGATGTTTAAAGTCATACTGTGGAACATTCATGCCAAATAATGTTTTAGTATCAATACCCGCTTAAATGAGTCTAGTTTTAGTATCGATGAGTATCTGATTTTCAGTACTTCTGTCAACCCTCAGAGACAGATGGGTGAGTGTTTCCCCGCACCAGAAAAGTTCCCGAGTGCGTCTTTAATCGAATGCTGTTGCCCTACATTCAGATGTTTGAAGGCGGTGGGCTGCTCTGTGCCTGTGGAAAGCAGAGCCTCTCCTTGGTGCGTGGTTTGAAAATGGATTAGCTCAAGTCTGCCTAGCAACAGCTCTCTCCCCTCACACACGCCAGCTTTGACCTCATTTCAGACACCAAGGATGCACGTCCTGGTGTAGTCCACGTTTAGTCCTGGTTAATTCTTGGTATAGTCATGGTATAGTCCTCATTTAGAATTTGGTTTAGTCCTAGTTTAGTCCTGGTTTAGTCCTGATTTCCTGGTGTAGTCTTGGTTAAATCTTGGTTTAGTCCTAATCTAGGTTTAGTCCTGACTACTTCCTGGTTCTGTCCTGGTTTGGTTCTGTTTTAGTCTTGGTTTAGTCCTGGTTTAGTCCTGGTTTAAGTCTTGGTTTAACCAGGACTAAACCAGTTTAGTACTAGTGTAGTCCTGGTTTAGTCCTGGCCTAGACAGAATTTAGTTCAGGTTAAATCCTGGTTTAGTCTTGGTTTAGTCCTTGTATAGTCCTGGTTTAGTACTAGTTTAGTCTTAATCTACACTGAGTTTGGCCCTGGTTACATCCTGGTTATGTCCTGTTTAGTCCTAGTGTAGTCTTGGTTTAGTCTTGTTTTATTTTTGGTTTAGTCTTGGTTTAATCCTGGTGTAGTTCTGGTGTGGTCTTGGTTTTGTCCTGGTCTAGACAGAATTTAGTCCTGGTTATGTCCTGGTTTAGTCCTGATGTAGTCTTGGTTCAGTCCTGGTTTAGTCCTGGTTTTCTTGCTTTAGGGTGCGTTCACACTTGAACATTAACATTTTGACTGAACTGGGAACTTAATCCGTACTAGACCAGGACTATACCAAAGACCAAACCAAATCTAAATGCAGGACTAGATTTAGTGAAAAGCTCTTATAAACTCATCATGTTGAATAATGAGGATGAGGATGCTCTGAATACAGAAGGTAAGAGAGGAAGAACTTTGGACCAGTGCAAACTGTTTACAATGAACTAGTTCTGTTTTTCATGTTTCTGAAGATGCTCAAAATCAGGGACAGTGTCTTTAATATCATTGTGAGGATGGTAAAACTTATGTTGAGGCATTGGTTTTCTCTCATGTCTGATGCACATTTTGTAAAACTAGTTCCCACATTTAACAATCAGTGTTTTTAAAGTGGGAAAGACTCGTTCAAAACACAGATAGACTTTTTCATTTGTTCACGAGAAAACAGGAGCAGATCAGATGAGCTTGTGTTAAATAGTGAAACTGTCGCCTGGATGGTGCTGTGTGGGAGATCACAAGATAAAGCACTCCACACATTAAAGAATCACAAAGGAACATTTTAGCAGCGCTCCCCTGAGTCCCTCTCAGATCCCCCTGGGGGCGCTAAAAGGCCTCTGCAATCTCTGCTTCTGCCATAAAACAAAAGAGAAAAAGAGAGGTGTGGGTGAGACCTGTGGCGCTTTCAGCATTTTACTGTCGACACCACACGCTCACACGTGAAGGTGAAAGGCCCGGCCCCTATGTTTCTGCATGGACTTGAGCAAATCATTGTATAAGCAGCTCTTGAGGTCAATAAAGAACTCTGCCGTGTACTGTCTGCATCTGATTATAAAGTGTTCTATTGTTCAAGAATCAGGATGTGCCCGTTTGCAGGCTAGTTGTGGTTAGCTTTACTGTCACAGCAGAACTGCGGTCTCGGAGAGTTGTGAAAAGCTCTTATAAACTCACTATGGTGCTCGGAATACGTAAGGTGAATGAGGAATAACTTTGGAGACCGTCACCTCCTCGCAGATCTGACCTGTAACTTGGCCTAGTAGCGTTGTCTGTGTCCATGGAGATATGTTTATTGCCATACTGTGGAACACTTAAAGCACTAACATCTCCATGGAGACAAAGAGGTGGCAGACCCTCCATCAGAGACGTTTCAGAGGTGACCTTTGGATGTTCCCCATCGGACCTACAGGAGCCAACTGTGACATTTGCCTTCACAATGACAACTGTGTCAGGCAGCACGGTCACATGAAAGAGAAGAAAACAAAGTCAAGAGTAACACTGGCCACGTTTAAATGACAGCTTTAATACCAAATAAAAATAACTGAATTCTGAATAAAAATTTATTCTGCTTCAAAAAGACACTTTAAAAAATGCTTAATTCCTAATGGAAATTATTAATCAGAATTAAACTTAATTCCAGAGTAAATGGGTGTGTTTTTTTCCAATTTTTGAAGCTGAATGAATTTCTTGCTGGGTCATATTTCACATTTATTCTTCTTAAAAATAATTCTGGTCGTTCGGCACATGCTCGTTGTGTCACTCTTCTGACGTGATCCGGACAATCCAGCTCCACCAGTCCTGGGTTGGGACTTTGATCCACGTCTCTTTGGATTTGTGAGCGGGATGTGGGAGTGGGCTGAGGTAGAGCAGCCTCACACTCACTTTGTCTTCTTCCTCCTTCTCCAACACTCTTCCCTTCTCCTCCTCAGCTGACAGACGTAAAGTGTGATGAGACAATTCTCCAACTGCTGTGCAATTATCATCAGAACCACGGTGGAAAAATTTTGGATCATATTTGTGTTTGTGGCGTAACGACAAACAGAGATGACAGAAAAGCCGGTAGCAGCTGAAGTGTGTGTTTTCTTCCGGTCGATGTACATCCGTTGGTGTCTCTGTCCAATCAGAACCTTCCCCACCCCCAGACACTGAGACACATTAAATAAAGACCATTTAATCAGTTTTCCATGTAAACCTCAATTTGGAATTATTATTTCCATGTAAACTCCAAGGAGAGTATTTTAATTCTGATCTATTTAATGCTGAACAATTAATTTGGAATTAAAAACATCATGTAAACATGGCTTCAAAAATAATATTACTCAAATAGAAGAACCAAGTAGTGGTTTAAGAAATTACTTGAGTAACCATCTTCACTGTCGAGAATAATTTTATGTTCATGTAATTTGAAGGATAAAATCTGGTTAAAAATGAACATCTTTGGTTTGATAAAATTTGATATTTTCAAATTTCAAAAATGAAACACTAAAATCACTAAATCATATTTGAAGGAGCTGCTGCAAAAAAAAACACAAATGCTCAAATAATTTCAATTTGTCACATAAAGTGTTTGTCACTTTAGACTCACTCACAGTGGGACAACTTTTACTCAAGTAAGAGAAGTATGCTGCTAGAAAAGTACCCTGAAAAGTATAATTTCTTTCAAAATTTCCTCAAGTAAATTTAAGTGACAGTAACTCTGTCCGTATCCTCTGCTCTGCTCGTGTTCAGGACAGTCCGCAGAGCCCACAGAGCAGAGGAGGCAGATGAACAGAGGTCTGGTGAAGCGTGGAGCTGCTGTGGGTTTAGACAGTGGGGTCTGGGACAACAAGAGCCTCACACACACAGGCTCTCACTGGGGGCACCGTCTGACAGAGAAGGGGGCACACTGGCACTGTGTTATCACAAACAAGGCAAATAAGTGACATTTCTATAATGTTAGTCACTTTTTGTGTATACTTGACCCTGAGCAAACACATTTACAGACGTGTTAGAGACAGATTAGAGCCATAGATTGTAGCTGTATATAAATGGACATAGCTGATCCTCTAGCCCCGGCGTTCCCAATACAAGAACATGGGTGCACTTCCGGCTCTTTCCACTCTGGTTCCAATTCTTTTTTAAAAACTTGAAAACTTCTCGCTGCTCTCTCTGTACCTACTGCTGTCAGACTCCTCAGTTTGGCCTTAAAGTGTTTGTATTAACCTGCTCTACATGATCCTGGTGGTTTTATTTCACTATTTTCTCCATAAATCAATTCTTATTCCTAACATGGAATTGGGGTCCAAATTCGCCCCTATAACTGCTAGCCTGGGGGACGTCACACTTCATTAGTCCTCTTTTTATACAGTCTATGTGTGGCACTTAAACCTGAAGGTCCCTGGATCATATAACTCTATGTTTTCACTCAAACATAGTTAATTATGTGTTTGTTATATTTTAGTAAAAATCGTGCCTAGTTTTTTAATTCTGGTAAAGTTTATCATTTGACTTCCTGGACACAGGGAGCAGAGGTAATTCCATCAAACTGTTACCTAGCAACCATAAAGGCAACATAAATTGCACAGTAGTTATGATTAGACTAATACAAAACAATAACAACTCTATTTTTGTTCAATCAATGTTAAATTTGTCAGAAAATGTCTTCCTTATGCGTAAATTGTCTCTGGATGGAGTTTTCCGTGTTGATGACATAGGCAGAAGGATTCTGGTTTAGAACTTGGCTCTACTTGTACTACTACTTTCTACTTGCTACCTGTGTTTTTATTCTTTTTGACTTTTTCCCACAAAGAGCAACTTAACTGATGTACAACTGTGATAAATATTGACCACGAGCCACCAAACCAAGTCAGGTTTCCATGTTGTTCTAATTCTGTCCTTTGCACTTTCACTTTTGAATATTTGTATTGAGTTGAAGTGTTTAACCTGAGCTGTTGTGTGTCCACAGAGAAAGAACACAAAGGGGAGAAGAAAAGGCAGAACGGAGTGAAGGAGAAGAGGAAGGAGAGAGGAAAGAGCGGAGGAAGAGCAGTCCAGACAAGAAGAAAGAGAGATGGAAGTCTGAGAACGGATCACTGCTCAAAGACATAGGTACGTCTTTACTGTAGGACTGTCATCCACTAAACACATGTCCTGCTCATCAATTGGTCGACTGAAAAGGGGGCATGGCCAAAGCTCTCAAAACTATTGTCCTATTTTCCGGACTCTCCAGAGTAAAAGTCGCACCAGCCAAAAAAATGCATCATGAAGAAGAAAAAAACATATATAAGTCGCACTGGACTATAAGTCAAATTTTTTGGGAGAAATGAAATTTATAAAATCAAAGACCAGAACCGACATTTCATCTTCAAAGGCAAGTTCTAGTAATAACAATAGAACAGAACAACAACAAGACGTCTGGTCTGTTAACGTTAACGTCACATATGAACAGTTCTTCAGATAATTATAACATAAACAACAGAACAGGTTTACCAAACTCTCCATCTCACTCCAAATCACTAAATCCACTGAATTCTTCATCCTCGGTGTCACTTCTGAGCAACTCTGCCAACTCGGGCTAAATCTAGCTTTTAGCCCACTATTAGCTTTCTTTGTTTTCTTCACTGCAGCAAGGCCGGATTATCCACATGGGCCAGTGGCACCGTGCCCAGGGCCCCAACCATTCACAACCAGTGGGGGGGCACCACACGACACAAACTTTCAAATATTTTTTTTTATTTATATGTTATTTACTTGAAAATGTTAAATTGCCAAACATAACTGGACACTAATTTCCTAATAACAACAATAATAATGATCATTTTCCCTCTTCCCCCAATCTGTCAGTTGAGTCAGTCAACAAGTGTGTGTGTGTGTGTGTGTGCAGGGGGCCTCTGTGAGGTATAGTACCCAGGGCCACCACATTGGCTAAATACAGCTCTGATAGCAGTTCGACAGTTCGAGTGTTCGAGTGTTCGAGTGTTCGAGTGTCCGAGTGTTCTCTTCTTTTCTCCAGTCCCTCACATGTTTCTCGTTCACTCCAAACTTTCTTTGTGCAAAGGCGCCTCTTATTCATGTTCTTAAGTTCTTATCTTGGTTTATGAACAAAATAGGGAAATAAAAAAAAACAGGATCATGTAGAACACGTTAATATGAAAATTTTAAGACCAAAACGACGCCTGACTGCAGCAACTGCACACTTTTTCAATAGAAAGTGAATTGGAGCGAGAATCAGTGGAGCCAGAAGTGCGCCCATGCTCACTTCCTGTTTAGAAAGGTGAGATGGGTTCATTTATGTACAATCTATGAGAGAGAGATAAAGAGGGGATGAAGAAAGGAAAAGAGAGAGATGGGGCAGTAGAGGAGAGAAATGATAGACGTTAGAGAGAATAGAGAGAGAGAGACGAGGGAGAGGAGAGAAAGAGAGAGAAGATGTAGAAGAAGAGAGAAAGAGGAGAGGAAAGGGAGAGAGAGAAAAAGAGATAGAGAGAGAGAGAGGAGGAGCAGAAAGAGTGTCTTGGTCCCAAACAGTGGCAGGATTGTTGTGCAGAGCCAAATGTCTCCCTGGAAACAGCAAGAAGGAAAAAAAGAGGGGGAAAAAAGAGGAGAAAAAAAGAGGGAGGGACGACAGGAGAAGTGGCCACTGCAAGTCAACAAGCTCCGATACTGAAAGCACAACACACAGAAGAAAAGTCCACAGACGGGTGCGTGAGGACAGGAGAGAGTGTGTTCACAATAAGCGCTCTGGGAACAGTTCTGCGTCAGGATGAAGGATTTGGGAAAAATATCAAACTGTCATTTTTCTGACAAACAATTGAGATTGTGATTAGATTTGTTATTTCTGTTTTAATAATAGGATTCTGTTCACATTTCAAACACGTCCAGAAGAATTGACTAAAAGACTGACAAAATAACACAAGAATCATCACCTTCCAGTTTTTCTGTTCCGATACCGATGTTGATATTTCTGATATCAACTGATACCAAGGCATGTATTTCCTTTAAATTAAATATAAACGCCGTACGGAAAAAAAAAAAAAATCCAAATGTGTTTTTTGTAACTGTTATTTATTATTTAAAGTAACTGCAGAACAACTTTGAAAAATATATTACAAGTGTTTTTTTGTTTTTTGTTTTTTTTGGTCAGCGTTGTCCCTTAAATCATCACCCAAAATAGGATATTGATAGAACCGATATCAGCAGAGCCGATATGCGATCCATCAAAATGTTCAGTATCGGTACTGAATAGTATTAGGGCTGGGTATCATTCAGAAGTTGCTGATACGATACATGCCTCGATACACGATACATGATACGATATATATCTCGATACAGTGAGCTTATGTTTCGATATGATTCAATATGATATATTTCAAATCGATTCAATGTGATTCAGTAAAAAATAAAGACTAAATCATGGCTGTGATTTGTTAAACCAATTTTTGTGCAAAGTTCATATGAAACACAAACATTTTACCGTATTTTCCACACTATTAGTCGCTCTGGATTATAAGGCGCACTGTCATTAAATTGTCTACTTTCAAACTCAACAAATAAACAAACAAATAAACAAATAAATCGCATGGGACTTTAAAGGAAACCCAACAGTGTGATGGGTGAGTGGTTTTGTTTGTTTGTGGCGTTCACGGTGACTCTGGGCTTTGTTCAGTTGTGGCGTGTAGGGAGGGGGCTGTCTGGGACGCTGGATTGTCGGCGTGTTCACAGTGACTCAGTTGTTCAGTTGTATCTAGAAGTGGCACATTGCACTTGCTTTTTCAGTTCGTTCCTTCATTCCGTTCCTCGTGTGCGTGGAGTGATGAGTGTATCTGTGGGTGTTTTTCGCTGTGCGGTCGCTGTCTGCTCCGTGTGTGTTTGTGTGTTCTGTGGGTGGTGCGGTTTTGTAGTTTGCTGAAGTCGTGCTGGGACACCAGAGTGGATTGTGGGGTGCGCAGTCGTTTTTTGATGGGGTTGGAGGATTAACTATTAGCTCAGAAAATACGGTAATGATCAAAACAGTGAAAATATCAAATGTGTTTACAGGAAGGAAACTTGTTTATGCAACAAAACTGTAGCTGTAACAAAAGAATTGACTAAAATACACCAAAAAATACTCTTGGTGATATATCAACATAGCAGCCCACAGTATCGATACTGTATCATCACATTAAACGATACGATATCTTGATGTTTCAATATTTTTGCGCACCTCCAACTAGCATCATATTGGCACATCCATAAGTTCAGAACATGTTTGTGCAGCTCTACAGTGTTAGCTGCTTTTCTGCAGAGATGCAGGAGATTCAGTCGTTTTTAGAGGAAATGATGTACTTGAAAAATGTCACCCTTTGTCATTTGTTCATTGCATTAAAATTTTCATTGGATTGAGATGAATCCTGCAGCTCCAGGACTGTGTCTGTGGAAAACTATAGTGATATACACCAGGACTAAACCAGGGACTAAACTAAGACTGAATAACAGACTAAACCAGGACTAAACTAAGACTGAATCACAGACTAAACCAAGACTAAACTAAGACTAAACCAGGACTAAACTAAGACTGAATCACAGACTAAACCAGGACTAAACCAGGACTAAACTAAGACTGAATCACAGACTAAACCAGGACTAAACTAAGACTGAATCACAGACTAAACCAGGGCTAAACTATAGACTAGACTAAACGAGGGCTGCAGGACTAAGCAAGGGACTAAATCAGGACTAAACCAGGACTAAACTAAGGCTGAATCACAGACTAAACCAGGGACTAAACCAAGGCAAAGCTAGAATTAAGACACAATTGAATACTCTCAGTAATTGTGCAAATTTTTGGGCCAGTACCTTTCTGATTCACAGATGCTGGACATACAGAAAAGTTCCGTAGTGCATCTTTAACCATGATGACCACAGTGGACGTAGCTGGAGTTAAACCCTCAACACTTCCATGAATGATTTGTGCTGATGATGAAATGAATGAAGTCAAAGAGCATGCTCACACTCACTCACACTCACACTCTGAATGAGCACACTCCAAAAGTACATGGGAACTTTCTCAATTTCTTGTTAAAATTTGGAGAATAACTGTTATGAATAATTCAGAGGAAAGTTCAGTTAGCGTTAGCGTTAGCAGGACTTTGCCGAGTGTTGGGCTGATTTTAATGAGACCTGCTCAACATTTCAAATTGGCCCAAAAATAGAACTCGATAATTATGTTTTACTCCAACTTCTCTTTAGTCTGCTGCACACTGCACACACACACGCACACACACACACACACCTTACAGGGACTTGGACTCTGACTGCCTTTATTAATTATTTCACTTGGTTAAAGTAGAACTATGTAACTTTTCTTATGGAGCACAGATATGGAGTGAGAAAGCTTTCAGAAATATTGGTGTGCAACGAATAGAAATCCGTGCATGTTTGTCTGTAGTTGAGCATAAAATAAATATTTGTAAACTCTCAAATGAGTCCAGTCGTACATAAAATATTTTGTGTGTATTTTATCCATCAGAATACGAATTGAAAAGTTATGACGTCAAGAATTACAATCACAAAATGAAAATTTATGATTACGCTTTCATCAGTACGAATACGAATTCACAGACGGAACTTTACTGTCAAAAATACGTCATCACTTCACAGACATTATTTATCGAGCAGAAGAAACATCGATCAAGATCAAGACTGTGCAGCTCAAGTTTGTAGCAGAAGGTAAAAACAGAGTAATAGCACAACAAGGAGCTACAACAGCGACCAACAAGTGGGTTCATTCAAATTTATTGTAAAAATGTCTTGTCTTGCCACACTGAATTCGGGAACCAAACGCTGCTGTGTAATACTGTGCAGAAACACCTCCTCTGAAAGGGAAATTGCACCTATATCTTAGTAGAAACAGAGTGGAGCCAGTTGGCGAACATCAAATGTAATGTTATCCCAGGGGTAATTGGCAAATATCGGTGTTTTCTGCATGTTTAGATTAAAACATTCACGGCTACAGCCACAGTGAGCATCAGTCAGTCTTGAAATGCAACCAAAAGTTCCTCGGGACGCTGAAATGTCCCAGTTTACACCAAACACTACCAAACTGTCCTGCTGTCCAAATGCGCACGGAT